CTACATTAATATACAAAATGCAATAATGGCTTAGTTGGGGGTATTTTTGGAATCTGAAAAGTACAATAAATCAAATTTTATGCTTAATTAGGTAACTTGCTGAGTTGGATCCTAGTCATGGGTTTTTACTTATACAAATTGGGTATTATTTATAGGAACAAAAAGTGAAGGGTTTTAGATGCGGCAAATTAAATTTGAAGGGTGTAAACCAAATTTACTAAAAACAAAATCTCTCAAGATCTTCTCGATGTTAAGTTCATTTTACTAGGCTGCTGTTTGCATGGCTTCGCTCCGTACAAAATACAAACCATCTATGCTTGTCAAAGTGATATAAATTCTTTAGACTTATACTTTTCTTTCAGGGGGGAAACCTTATCCCTTTAAAGGCAGACCAAGTACGCCAACTGTCAGATGCAATCCGTATATTAGAGGATGTGTCCCGTCTCCGCCCCCGCCATGCGATCCGTATAGGAGAGGATGTCACCGGCCCTCACGGGCCCCCGCCCCGGGAGAGTATAGGCACAGCCAAGGGCACCATGAAAAACCAGGACTTGGTGTTGCTGAGACTGAAACTGGGAATTAAATAAATAACCCTTTTTCAGTGGATATTGCAGGTACTATGTGGTAATAATTAAGAGTTTGTTTTGTCAATAAAGGTTAATGTAATGTATTGGTTGAGTTGTTAATAAAACTCTCAATCATAAATAATTAGGATTATAAGGTTTATCTTTGTACTAGTACTCATATCATACTGTGTCTAAGATATGTGGCTTTCTATCTTTATATATATATATTAAGCCCTTAATCTTCACTCACCCACTTTTACCCTCCTAGACTTGCCTTGTGCGTTACTTGAAGCCTTACTGGAAGGAAATTGATGGACGTAGACAGAAGCAGCAACCAGCGCATTGCTTCCCCAGAGTTCTCTTGGCTTTTGTATGAAAAGTATACAAGAGAATAGTACTTCCCTTCCAATTAATTGTCAAATTAACTCGACAAAATGTGATCAACTAGGTTTCAAGTGTTCCTCTCCTTTACGCGTCTTCAGTTCAACGATGTCCACAGAAATTCTTATTTCTCCCTCTCTTCCCCCCACCACCCCACTCTATCCTCAAGGGTCTATAAATTGGTTGAGGCCAAGCCACATTAAGTTCACTCAACAATCTTGTCTTCACCTTAATTGTGTTGTTAAGAAAAACATGGCATCATCCTCCAAGTCTTTTATTCTTCTTGACTTTATGTTTGCTCTTGTGATCCTCATCTCCTCTGAGGTCTCAGCTCGTGAGCTAGCGGAAATTACGAAGCCAGCAATTCCCATTAGTGAGTTTCTAATTTGTTTTTTTAACTCAGATGTATGTTTATATTTTTTATTCCACCGATCTGTGAAAATATATCTATGTGTGGGTATATGTGGATGTTCATATTTATGACCTCTACTCATGTTACTCAACTCATATTATTTTCTTCGTGGGTGTTGTATTATCCTTACAAATAATCAAGTCAAATCATAAATCACATAAACAAACTAAAAAATTTCGGCAAACATTAAAATGACCTTAAAGATAAACTATGTCATTCATTAAATTTGTTGATCATTTGTAGGGATGATTTAATAAAAGGACCTAAAAAATGAATATTTCAACACATTTTCAACCCACAAACTTTACCATTCAAATCATAGAAATATATACATTACATATGTATCTATGTCATTTCTTTTTATCCGAGAGGAAGGGATTCAAATTTGAGACGCATATTTTTACTTGAGAACAAATGTACTATTAGACTAAGTACTTATTGGCATCTATGCCATTTTTTAAGAGAAGTTTCTTCGTAGGTTTGAGTATAAATGTGAATTATGTCCCCAGTCTAGATAAAACAATTTTAATATTAAATTTAAAAATTAAGGGCAAATAGTAATTAGCAAACCCTTAATCTTCACTCACTCACTTTTACCCTCCTAGACTAGACCCAACTGTAGCTCTATTCTAATTTCTACCTTTATGTGAATTAATAGTCCCAATAATTTTATTTTTTTACAAAATCATATGAAATTTCTTAATCTATCAAGATCTTCTCGATGTTAAAGTTCATTTTACAAGGCTGCCGTTTGCATGGCTTTGCTCCGTACAAAATACAAGCCGATCTATGCTTGTCAAAGTGATATAAATTCTTTAAACTTATATAGATTACTACTTTTCTTTCAGGGGGTAATACCTATCCCTTTAAAGGCCGACTAAGTACAACAACTCCCAGATGCCATCCGTATACTAGACCATGTCACATGACCCCGCCCCCGCCCACCACGCCCATGCCCCCGTCTCTGGGAGAGTATAGCCACGGCCAAGGGCATCATGAAAAACCCGGACTTGGTGTTGCTGAGACTGAAACTGGGAATTAAATAGATAACCCTTTTTTAGTGGATATTGCAGGTACTATAAAACTCTCAATTAATTATGTGGTAATAAGAGGTTGTTTTGTCAATAAAGGTTAATGTAATGTATTGGTTGAGTTGTTAATAAAACTCTCAATCATAATTAATTAGGATTTTAAGGTTTATCTTTGTACTAGTACTCATATCATACTGTGTCTAAGATATGTGGCTTTCTATCTTTATATATATATATATATGTTTGAAAGCTATCCTAGCAATTTCTTTTTCCATAATTTGTGTATCAATGAAATTCTCCATTAAGAGTAACTATATGTTGATGGAAGTTTTAAAATTAATTCAAGCAAGCCCTTTCATATCATAATGTATTAAAAATAAGTAATTTCGACTCATTTTCTTTACAATATAAAAAGAGCAATGATTTCCCCACTCCTATTTTATCCATTTACACTCCTTTTTTAGTTATAAAAAAGGAGTGTAAGTGGATAAAATAGGAGAAAAAGGAGTGGGGAAATCGTCATTCTATAAAAATAAGTAATAACGACTCTCAGGCTAGATACTTGGGTAAGAAACCCTGGAATTCATCTAAGCCAAATGGACCCACTTGACCAAAAAAAAATAAAAATAAAGGACCCGCTCGACTTTCTTTTGCTCTACGTGAAACACTGGACTTGTGCAAAACGAATAACAACGAAGTCCTCATACAATTTTAATAGCTCCAGATGCCTGATGCCATCGCTCGTCTCTTTTTCATTGCTTCCCAAGTCTTAATCTCTTCCTCTACTTTTGGTAACCATTTCGTTTTGAGTGTTGAGTTTTTGTTTTGAAACCCAAACCATGTTTGATAACAGTTCAAACTGCTTTCAGTTTTTTTTTTTCTTTCTCGTTTTTTTATTCTCCAATTTTACATAACCACACATATATCGGGCTCCACCAGTACCACAATGTCAACCATTAATCCTATATGCACCTTGTTTTGTTGTATAATAATAAATTCTATAGTGAATTGAGCTTAACCCCTTCAAAGTCATTTTTCCTCAACTACAACCCATCTCTTTATTTTTGTTTGAATAAAATCCTGTTTTTTCTAAATAAAACCCAATGACTAGGATTCAACTCAGCAAATTACCTAATCAAGCGCAAAATCAAATTTATTGTTCTTTTTCAATTCCTAAAATACCCCCAACTAAGCCATTATTGTATTTTGTATATTAATGTAGGATCCAATATAGAAACAAATTTTATTGGATTGTAACTACATACATTTAATTTGGAAAGATCTCCAAATGGATGTAGAAATTAATTTGGAAACTTTTTAAAAATTTAACAATAAATTCATATTTAACATACCTAATCGGTTTATTTAATAATTTTTATTTACTTATGAAATATCGTAATTAATTAATTATTATTTTATAAATATAATAGCATACATACAATTTTATGTTGAAAAAATAACGTACATATTACTTCTTTTATGAAAAATGATGTACCTAGTATGAATGTACTTATTATTCAAATAATATACCCAACTTTTATAAACGCATTTTGGATATAATTTACCTAATAATTTCCTATTATGCAATAATATAACTTGTAATTTACCTATTACGGGTATATTGTAGGTATATTAAAGCCAACACATTTATAGGTATATTATGAAAATAAATTCCTACCCGAATTGGATATATACAAGATAGGTAAATTTGTAAGTACATTATATTGTATTGTTAATAATTTACCTACTATATTTTATTGGGAAAAAATTTGAGAAATTTTTTATTGGTCGAAAATTTAAAGATTTATTTATTGGTAAAAAATTTAAGACTTTTTTTAATTGGTCGAAATTTTAGGGATTAGAGAGAATGCCCAAAAAAAACAAAAAATGCTATAAATGATGAAGTATTAATTAGAAATGAGTCTTAATGACATGCATGAAAACTGTCATGTTTACTTATTGAGTAATGCTATTTAGACACACAAAATTGACCACATTAGATGACCACCTTATGTGGCAGATGGTGTGGTCATGCCACGTCAATTAATAAAATTGTCATGTGGATTTTATTTTTATTTCTTTCTTTTTAAAATAATTATTAAAAACAAAAAAATAAAAATTGAAATAAAAAATAAAAAAACCTTAGCATCCCCGGACTCTTCGTCTCTAGCACTCCCTTCTTCTTCATCTTAACGAGTGCAGAACTAATGTTCTGGGAGATGGCGTGGGTGTCGCAGACATTGGGGATCTGGAAGTTCTCTATGTCCATTACACAAACATCTCCGCCTTACCCATCAACGCTGCCGCCGTCGCCATCTCCGCCATGCTGCTTCCGCTCACATCCCCACACGTTGGCGCTCTCCAAATACTCTAGATCTGATGGTCACTGCTCACTTATGATCGAAGATGGGGATTATTGATTCTTGAAAAACCCTCAAAATACCAAAATTCAAAATCAAAATCAAAATCCTCTGGTTTTGATTGGGTTCCTCTCTTCTTGTAATTTTGTTGTTTTTTTTGAATTTGATCTCTTCTCTAGTATATCTATATCTCTTCTCTGGTTTTGAAGGGGGAGGAAGAAGGGTGTGCTGGAGACAAGAAAAGTCCAGCTTTTTGTTTTTCATTTTTTTTATTTCACATTTTTTTTTTAATAATAATAATTTAAATAAATAAATAAAATAAAATCCACATAATTATATTCATTAATTGACATGACATGACCACATCAGCTGACATATAAGGTGGTCAATTTTGTGTGTCTAAATAGCATTATCATTAGTTATTTGAAGTATGGTGGCAAACAATGTAAATATGTAGAAGTACTATGACCTTTTATATATTTTAGTTTGAATTTGGGTTTTTTACATAGATTTCAAAATTAATAGATTGATGTCTAGAAAACAGAAATTGTACTGGCCTATATTAGACTAACCCATTATTCTAATAGGTATATGGTAGTATAATGAACCTTTTAGCTGTAAGAACAAATTATACATTGGAGCACGGGGTTCTTTTGGCATGAATTTAAGCACCTACAAAAGAAGTGAGTCAAAAGAAGGGCACTGTCCTTCACAAACATACCCACACATAAGGTGATTAAAAAACATGCTTCTCGTAATAGAGAGGTCATATAACTCTTGAATTATTTCTAGGAGATATTTAGTCCACACGGTTGACTTGTAAGAGAACACTTCTTGACTTTTATTAAGAGATATAAAACCATAAACCTAGCTAGTGATTTAAGAAATTAAACGACAGCAGATAGGAGTCATGAACCCTCAGTTATTCAAACAGAAAGCTAACACACATATTGACTTCTACGAGAGACAACCAAACATGGAGCTGTCTGTTTTCCTATTACATTCACAGGCTATTCCAGAACTTGTTTACCCTTGTCCCTATTAAGCTTAGGACCCTCGATTCCTTCCATGCTTTTAAGGAGAGGGTCTTGCATGGAGCTGTCTGATCTGCTGCTAGGTCCTGCCTTGCCCTCACCGCCATCATGGTAGCGCTGATCATTTGTTTCTTTGGTCTCAAGAAAAAAGGTAAACTTGTCCTCATAATGATATACTGGACGGAAACCATACATTTTCGCGTACAGCCCTCCCCTATCGCTTGCAAATGAAGCGTTTACGCGACTACACCCATTCAACTGATCTTGAAAACACTTCCGTGGTATACAGGACAGCCAAATGAATCCTTCATCTTCTAACCACTTTAATTCTCCCCCCGTTACAGCTTGGCAAGGATAGCTTGCCGTGAGCATGTATATTTGGTCTTACTTGATGGTATAAAACCATTGATTTTACACAATTTTAAAGAGCCTGAATTGATGTGCAGCCTTGTCTTGTAACAACGGGAATAATGAAATTGCTATTCACGCTCAAATTCTTCAACTTTCCACTTTTGTGAAATTCCTTTCAATTACTAATATCGGTGCCATATGCTTTACGGATTATTAATTGAATATTTTTTTATATCCAGATTTTATAGCTTTTCAGTTTAATTCTCATTCTTAGAGAGCAAACATCTGCCTTTCTTAGATATTAGTGATCTAACAAGTAAATAGTTGGAAAATGTGGATAATATATTAAATTTCTTTCTAATCTTGGTCATAACGTTGTTTTTTTTTCTTTTGTAATCTTGGTTAATTCGCACCTGTTGGTCGGGTGATTTCATATGTCCGTTATTGCTGACTTTTTTTTTTGGGGGGGGGTTATGCGAAGGTGCTGCGCATCAAGCAAGCATAAAAGCATTGAAAATATTCGTAATTTAAGCTTTAGTGTACAAAGTGCCTTGAATCTAGAACTTCAAATTATTTTTCTTTACACCTCAAAAGGGAAAATCGACATAAAAAATACGTAATAAATATCTAGACCTAAATATGAAAAAATTCAATACGCCTAAATCAAAGAAAAAAATAAAGAACGCTTTGGATCTCGTCGTAACATCGGTGTTCTTCAGTTTTTGGTGGACCTATGTCGATCTAATCTTTTGTTTGGCAAATCTATTATCTCATATTTGGGCTGGCTTTGGTTGTGCCTCATGTAGCGAGGTTGCCCTTTGAGGTGTTTCGACTTTTTCATAGTAGATCAACTGCTCATTATTGCGTTGTTGAGGCATCTGAGTAACTATGTGGCACTCTCTATAGACTATATGTCATGCCCAGAAGGAAAGATTAGCGGTGGTTGGTGTTCCTTTTGCCAACGTTGTTTTATTTATTATTTATTTTGGTTTAGTTTGTTCAATAAAGTCTAGAAACTCTATGAGTTTTGTGTGTCATTTCCCTCTAGTGACTCTAGAAACATAGTTGAGTTTGTTGGGTGTTCTTAGTCTCTTTAAGAGAGCGATGCCGTTAGCAGCTAGTTTTTGTCTTTGATGTCATTAGACTAGATCCTGGGAAATAATTATGATGTTTGAAAGAGGTTTTAGAAAAAATATTTTCGAGTGTGATTCTCTCTAGATGGTTACAGTATGTGTCCTTTAAACTTTTTATTTTTATTGATCTAATAAAATTCTATCCTATTTTTATACATAAATAAAATAAAATAAAAATTCATGTTAAGATTAAAAGCCTCTTAACAAATTAATTAATGTGCCAAACATCACCTTCAAGTTTCAATATTTTGATCCAGCCAAAAAAAAAAAAAAAAAAAAAAGTTTCAATATTTTGTTAATGGGCATATAAAAGATTAAAGTTTCAAACAATTGAAGAAGTTAACTAGGTACCTGGCTTTATCCAAATCCCATCCCTTGATAATGGCTATTTCCGTTAAAGCTTTCCTCCACTTGCCCGCCTCCCCCGGTACGTTCTTTTCTTCATATTTGGCAAAGGCCTGGCTAAAGCTTCCAGGTTGATTCTCACCTCCGATGGTTTGACGTGATAGAAAACCGGGAAAACTTGGAGTTCCCTCTTTTTCATGCATTCAACAATATGTGCAAGTTCATCCAAACACCACGTTGAAGAAGCATACTCTTTTGAAAGAATGACGACTGCAAACCTCGATTCTTCAATGGCTTTCAAGAGTTCTGGGGCGATGAATGTTCCTCTCTTCAGTTTTTCATCATCCCTAAATCGGAGCACTGGGGGCGTGCCACGTGGCTTCCAGCCGTTGGAGCTGCGTCGCGCTGACGTCAGCGCACGCTGGTTCAAATTTTTTTTATCGTTGACGCGTGCATTCATTACCACGTGCTCGACGTTAGCCTGACGTCGAGCTGACGTCACCCCCCGCATTTTGGACCTCGGGCGGAAGTTGCCTTCGGGCCAGCCTGGGTTGGTGGGTCCCACACCCCCCTGGGCCTGGGCTGTCCCCTGGAACACACTTTTTTTATTCCCCCCAGCCTCGGGCTGAGCTTCACCGCTGGAGTAGCTCTTAAGCATCATAGGCCAAATCAAATCCATCCCAACCCAATTAAATCATCAATCGAATTCGACTTTCAGAGGGGCATTAATTGTTCCAAACATTATGTATGAAGGATCCCAATAACAACACATATAAAACAACAGATTTTTGGGGACGCTCTTTCTAACCTGGCCTGAAAATATATGAGGCAATTGTTGTATAATCTAACAGGTTTATGCTGGTATAATGAACCTTACAGTGTGGACCAAAATTCTTCGCCTCATCTAACATTTCCTTGCAATGTGGACCAAAACTCAGATGTTGACTAGCAAACTCACTTAAATCGTCTGTAAACTTTGCAGCACCTTGATGGGAGATCAAACTTATCCCGCACCCTTTGACTATCAAACTGGGTCGATTCGTTGAGACTGAAGCTCGAAGTAATCCGGGGCTTGCTTTTTGCAAATGCCCTGCAAAGTTGCGTGCTGGCTGATAGCAACAAACTCCATGCGACCCAACTATGAAGTTTTCAAAGTTTGCAAAGACACTTCGCTTTTGAAAAAGGCCATCCGAGGCCTGAAAACGACAGAAGGTCTCTTCCATTTCAAAACTCTGATCAAGAATTTCGAAAAAAACAAAAAGGGCAACTCCCATCCATGAAGAATTACTATCTTCTGGATCTGATAGTTGGATTGTTACAGAAGTCCCACTCTGATACTCACTGCACCAGTGTGGAATTGCGGTATGCGGAACACGAAGTTCAATTTCTTGCTCAAGCTCAGGACCAATCAGATCCTGTAGAAAACAAAAAAAAAACAATAACATTATATGCCTATATACACATATATCAATGGCCCAACCTTGAATAGGATCCATTGATAAGTTCATTATTGTTAGAGTATAGTGCTTTAGATTGTGACACTTGTCATAATCTTGTTGTAGTAGTTAGTTAGTTTGTTAAGATTACAGTATATGTTCTATCAGTTGATATAGCTTAACAATTATGTGTGTGTGTGTGAGAGACAGAGAGAGAGAGAGAGAGACACCTTCAAGTATTTAGAAAAGGGTTGTTTAACATGCTCTTCAGGAATTGGACGTGGGTCATGTCTTGTCTCATCTTCATCCCCCTCTGATTCTTGGCACTTTAAGAAACAGATACCCTTATCAGAAGTCCATATGGTCAGTGTTTCTGGATAGTTTGTTTGCATAGGACAATCATGTGCAACTAAAGGTTTTAGGCTGGGTGGAAGATGTTTTGGCAACAAGCGCAGATTGCTACACTTAAACAAGGTAAGTTCTTCGAGCTCAGAAAGTCGAGATATGCTTTCAGGTATGCTCACAAAATTGTTTTCACTCAAACCTAAACTCCGCAATGAGGATAAGCTTCTGCCAATATCATCAGGAATTGCTCCTTCATCTAGACTGCATCCGCTTAGATCTAATGATATCAAAGAGGATAAACCCAAGAATGAGTCAGGCAGCTTCAAACCTTTACAACCATGTAAACATAAGCTTTGAAGGTTCTTCAGACGTAAAATAGACGGAGGCAATCTTCTGATGGCGGTTTGACAGGCATAAAGCTCTTCTAAATGTTCCAGCCTCCCAATGTTTTCTGGCAGTTGGTCAATCAATTTACAGCCTGATAGGTATACATGTTTCAGGGATGTCAAACTGCAAATGCTGCTTGGAAGACTCAAAAGGTTCTTGCATTCTCTTAGATTTAACAAAATAAGGTTAGTCAAGCGCTCAATTGATAACGGCAACTCCCTTATCCCCGTCCTATCTAAATGAAGTTCTGACAAGTGTTTCATATTTCCCACAATCTCTGGAAACCTTTCCAGTCTTGAACACCCTGAAGCAATAAAAGTTTGAAGAGATTTCCAGCAGATGAAGTGGGGAAGGATCTCTAGACATTCACAACCCTTCAAGTTCAATGAAACCAGATGTTGGAAATCCCAAATTGTTGGGTGAAGCTCTGATAACTTTTCACAACCTTCAAGAGTCAAATCCATAAGATATGGGACCTTACTGAAGTCTGGGGTCTTGGTCAAGCATTTGCAGTTGGAAAGATCGATCAGCCTCAACTTTTTCATCAAAGGAAGGTGCTGTCATGAAGGGGAAAGAAAACAAGGGTACTTCAACAAATTTATTGTAGTAATTAGTATTGGAATGAATAATTTCTGTCTAATTGAATGCAAGAACATTAAGTGAAAAGTTATCGAAATACCCTTTCATGCCATAGTTGTTTAATGCGGCTGCTAGGCAACTTGAGTTCAACAAGGGCAGAAGGTCGAAAACTTGGGGGTAGAGACTCTGAAGGATATTCATGCCACTCCAAAAGCCGTAACTCTCTAGAGAAATATTCAGGACATTTAGAAAAGCTGGCATTACAAATCTTCAACAATTTTAGTCCGCGCATATTTGAGAATGGATCAGCTTCCAACTCTATCTCTTCATTTGCAGGCAAGGTTAGGAATATACCGTGAACAGCAATTGTTCCCTATACCACAAAATCATAAAGGTAAGTGTAAGATGTATAAGAATTATTGCATCTGAAAAATTTTAGGTTTGTTTTAAACTGATAACCAAATATGCATATTAAAGGTGCACCTTTGATATATCATATGCTTATTGTAGTGAAGCATGTATATATATGGTGCCTACATGTAGCATATTATTTGATATCTTACCAAATTATCCTCGAGTACATTGTTCACGTCATGCCACGACCTGCTATCTTTATAGTCCGAGACATTTTCATTAACCCATAACCTGCTGCGCAGTGGCGGAGGTATATGAGGGCCTGAAGGGGCCTGGGCCCCCCCAAAAGTTTCATAATATTTGATTTGTGGTCTTCTGTTCCTACAGATTTTAGAAAGTAAATATGATAATTTTGCTTGTGGCCCCCTCAAGATGTGTTTCTCTTTCCAATTAAATATATATAATAATAACCACTTGCCACTTGACTAAAGGTTGTGAATGTTTCTATCCTCACGCCAGTTTTGGTTTTTTAAAAAGTAGAATCTCATGTCCATCAATATATTAATAAAAAAAAAATTAAAACAGCCAATCAAATAAAGTTTCAAAAAATTTCCTTTATCAAATAGGAAATAGACTTTTACCCAAATAAAAAAGGATTGGGATTTTAATTTTTGTTCCTATACAAAGCAACATGAACTTAGTTCGAAGCAGCCGCACACAACAAAAGAAAATAACTGAATTTGGTTGTTTGCTCTCCAACCTCCTACTTCAGAATTTCTAATTCCAGGTTAGATAACTTTACAGTTAATTTTTTTTTTCCTTTGTTTATTTACTTTTTATGATAATTTTGTATATGTTCTATGCATAGAATATGATTTTATTTTTTTATTTTGGTTTGTGGTATAATTTATCATGTCCTTAATAAAATTTGTAATTGGTTTGTAGATGAAGAGACAACCTAAAATTGATGGATTTTTCAAAAGAAAACATATTGAAGTTACCTCATCTGTACCTGATTATAATATTGAGACAATAGCATATGAAAATCGTTCTGGATCTCCAAGAATTGAGACTACTGATAATGAAGTTGATATTAGTATTTTAGCGCGCGACCCAGGGCTACGTCCACAAATATGGAATTATCATGTTAATCAACGTGACGAAATTCGACGAGCTTACATTAATGTCGGTCCATACCAACCTATACTTTCCAAGTATCCAAAATCTGGATCAGTAACTCATCAGCGTAGCTTTCAAAGTTCATGGTTCAAATTATTTCCTTCGTGGTTAGAATATTCACCTGTGAAAGATGCAGCTTTTTGTCTACCGTGCTATCTTTTTAACAAACCATTTGGACATTCTGGAAAAAATGCTTTCACTCTTGAGGGATGTCAAAGTTGGAAGAAAGTTAGAGATGGAAAAAATTGTTCTTTTCTAAATCACGAGGGGAAAGATCCTAACTCCCCCCATAAGATTGCTGAAATATCATGTTTGGATTTGATGAATCAATCCCAGCATATACAGAAAGTCGTTGAGAATTATTCTTCCCAACAAATTGCAGACAATCGACTACGACTTAAGGCAACAATTGAAGCAGTCAGGTGGCTTGCATTCCAAGGATGTGCTTTTAGAGGCCATGATGAAAAATTGAAAAAAAGAATTCAATAAATCGTGGAAATTTTCTTCAAATGTTAGAAATATTGGCTGCATATAATGAAAAAGTTGCTGGAGTTATCTTAGATAAAGCTCCCAAAAATGCCTCTTACACATCACCACAGATCCAAAAAGAAATTTTACATGTTTTTTCAACTAAAGTGAAGAAAGCAATCTGTGAAGAAATTGGGGAATCAAAGTTTTGTATAATTGTTGATGAAGCGCGTGATGAATCCAAGAGAGAGCAAATGGCTATAGTGTTGCGATTTGTTGACAAAGAAGGTCTTATTCA